GCTGATAACAGGAGTTCCTGATTGTTGCATCCATCTTAGCTGTCAAGTGAAGTGACGAGTCAAGGAGCACCCCCAAGCTATGGACAGAGTCCTTCAAGGGAAGTGTGATCCCATCCAGAACTGGCTGACATAACTCCATTCCCGAGTTCAGTTTTTTTTTATGTCAAGTACCTCCATCTTATCTGGATTCAGCTTTTATAAAATTATAAAAGATATGCTTTCATGGACAGCATTCCACTTCATCAGGTGCATTGGATAAAACAGGCTGCTGTCCACCAAAAGTGCAAATAGATTTTTGCATGTGTGGGCAAAAGCATTTTTGTTTGCAAAATACAGTGTTCCACCCATAAAGCCTTTGTGAAATTTTCACCCCAAAGTCCTGAAAATCATATGACAAACTGTTCAAAAAAAAAAAAACCTATAAGAAAAATCTTATAACCCCATCCAGTTGGGAGAAAACGTATGTATTTTCCCTCTTCCTGCATGAGAGAAATAAGTAATAATTTACATTCTTATTGTCCATGAAAGTTTGTGCCATAGAAAACATGTTACTTTTTAAGGTGCCTGTGGAGATAACAGGAAGATTAGAATCTTGGCACTAGCCAATGGGAGTGAAGCCAGGAAAAGCTGGGGCTGCTCCCAGGATTGAGTTTGTAAGAGGGAGGAACAGGTTTGAAGGGGGTTGATGTTTAGTGTGCCCTGAGGGGTGAAGAGCCATTGAGGCTAGGTTAGGCTGCTGAGAGGGGCAGTTAGAAAGGGTTTTAGGTACCCAAGAAAGAAACAATGTCCTTAAGTAAATTGTTGGAGTGTCCTGTGGGAGACAAATTGTTTGTTGACTAATGAAGTCACAGGTATTCTGGAGGGTTATAAGATACAAAAGTTTAATAAAGGTTCAGTGAGAACTTAGGGGGGAAGCAGACCAGGGCGTCCAGGACGCCCTGGGACGGTGCGCTGTGGGACTGTGGCATCCGCACCACGGCGCACCACGGCGCACCGGCGGCGTCCCTGAAAGGAGCGGTAAATTGGCGCTCCTTTCAGAAGTCAGGGAAATTGCGGCCTAAATGCGTAGGGCGCACTTTCCCTGACTTTTCTGCCATAGCGTGTGCAGACGCTACAGCGGGAGGTTGCCCCCGGAGCGCTGGCCATGCGGAGGGCAGGCAGCTCTGAGGGCAACCTCGGGAGGAGGAAGGGGCACCACGCGTGCGGCTTCCCCTCCTCTTCCCTGCCTCGGAGACGACTTTATTAGTCGCCTGCCGAGGCTCTTAGTCTGTAAGGGAACATATATAAAGCTGTAAAGAAACAATTACAAAAATAAGCTAAAGAAACTGTTAAATAGTGTAACTAATAATTATTTATACACCATATCCATTGTGCACACCATCCTCTAAAAGAGATACTGTATTCAGCCTGACTTATAAATATATTTAGTACTTTGTTTCAACTACCAGCTGTCTGCAGTGATTTCAGAAACACATTAAAAATAATACCAACATTGAGAAAAGCCTTTTAGGTTTGGGACACATTAGATAGCAGGTGTGTGGCTGTCAAAGAAGAGTTGGTGCCAAGCTGAGGGGGGGAGAGGGGATTTGAAACCCAGAGGACTGGCATCTAAAGTGAGTTATAGTGCAGAAGAGACTTAAGAGAGTCCTGAGTTTGAGTCTTGCAGTGGGATAATAGCCATCACTGTTCACATAATTGGTGGCCATGGTGGGATCAAAAAGACCTATTGTGCTGCCATCCACAAGAAGACGTTGGGTGGGTGAGCCAGTGCTGCAAGCTGAAGTTTTTGTTATATTGAAAGATATCTCAAAGTGGTGACTCTGAAATGATGTAAAGGGCCATATATATCCCTTTGCTGGATGGTAGTGAGAGAAAAGTGGGTAATGCAAAGCTTTGAGTTTTTTCCTTAATGTTTCATTGTCCCAAATGTCCCTTAATTTCCAATAAGTCTGATGAAAGAAATATTTCAAAGCATTCTTGCTCTCAGCACAGTATGCAGCAGTGGTTATCAGTAGGCGTTAACCACAACTTAAGGGCAATTGGCAATATTTCTACTCAGAGGTAAGGCAGAGTAATTCAGAACAAGTATTTTAAGCTGCAAATCAAATCTGTAATGTTGACCAAATATCTGTTATGTCTTTCACTCACCTTCTCCCCAAATAATTGTTCTCATATCATGCAAGTGAGAAATCCATAGAAGAAATGAAGCTTTCCCACCATTATCTCCCTCTTCCCAATAAGTTAACATTTTCACAGCAAATGAAGAATTTAATGTTTTTAAAAAGCCATTTAACCCTGCCCCAACCACTGCAAGCTATTGCTTTCTCACTCTTCATCAGTTTAACAAGATCTATCAGTGTGATTTACATTTTTGAATTAATTATTTTCTTCTGCCTTTTTTTTTTTTTGGCAAATATACTAGAATAAGAATCCAGGGGTTTCTGGATGAAATGGATTACCTAGATCCATTTCAATCTGGTTTCAGCCCTGGCTATGAATCCGAGACAGTCTTGGTTGCCTTGGTGGATGAACTACACAAGGAACTGGAAGGGGGAGGAATGCGTCCCTGTTGGTTCTACTGGACCTCTCAGCAGCTTTTGATACCCATGACCATAGTATCCTTCTTGGCCACCTCTCTGAGATGGGACTTGGAAGTACTGTTTTACAGTGGCTCCATTCCTTCCTGGAGGGGCGAACAGGTGGTGCTGGGGGACTCCTGCTCAACTCCCCAGGCCATTGGCCTGTGGGATTCCTTAGAGTTCTGTGTTGTCCCCTATGCTATTTAACATATACATGAAAACACTGGAAGAGGTTGTCCAGAGTTTTGAGGTGTGGTGTCATCAATATGCAGATGACATTCACTCTACTAGTCCTTTCCACCTCAATCCAAGGATGCTGTCCTGGCCCTAAACTAGTGTCTGTCATCAGTAATGGACTGGATGAGGGCAAGCACATTGAAACTTAATTCAGACAAGATAGAGGTGCTCCTGATCAGTTGGAAGGCAGATCAGAGAATAAGGATCCAGCCTGTGTTACACTCAGCCTGAAGACACAGGTTTGCAGTTTGGGGGTACTCCTGGACTCAGCTTTGAACCTGGATGCCCAGGTCTTTGCAGTGACCAGGAGTGCTTTTGCATATTTTGCACAGCTGCACCAATTCCTTGAGACACTGGATCTGGCCTCAGTGGTACATGCCTTGGTTACATCCCGTTTGGACTACTGTAACGGGTTCTATGTGGAGCTGCCTTCGAAGAGTGTTCAGAAAATTCAGCTGGTCTAAAGAGCTGTTTGTTTCTGAGCACAATTCAAAGTGCTGGTTATGACCTATAAAATCCTATATGGCTCAGGTCTACGCTATTTACAGACTCTCTCTGTATGACTCTGAGCTCTGAGATCCTGGGCTCTGAGATCCTCTGGGGAGGCCTGCTTTCCTTCCCACCACCATTACAAGCATGGTTGATGGAAACATGAAAGAGGGCTTTCTCAGTGGCTGCCTCTAGACTCTGGAACTCCATTTCCAGGGAGACAAGAATGGCTCCCTTTTTGTTGGCCTTATTTGTAAAGGACCAGCTTGGAAAGTTGTTTCATTTTAAAGTGTTTTATCCTGTTTTATATTTTAAATATAACTTCCCAGACTAGTTATATCAGATCAGCTTTCCGCCTTGGATTAACAGCTACTTAAAAGACGATCCTCGCGTGGCCCCATCAATTTGATGGAGAGGACTGTCGATTCAGGCTTTTGGATTTTTGGGATTGGAGGGTTAATTTTTAATTTTAATTCTTAAAATTTCAATTTTAATTCTTAATTTGAACTTGTTGTTTTAAATTGTCTTGATTTAATACTGTTTTAATGGGGGGAGGGGGTATGTTGTATTGTATGTTTTATTGTGGATGGTCTGTTTTAAAATTGTAAGCCGCCTGGATTGGTTTACCATTGGGCGGGGTATAAATAAATTTTATTATTCTTATTGTTATTAAATATAAAAATATAAAAGAGCCTCTGAAGGCAAGCCTAGGACCAACTGCCCTTCTTCCACC